GTGTCGGGACAAATTTTTTTTTTTCATTTTATAGTACATAAAAAAAGCTTTAATTTGATATATGTTTAAAGGACGCAGTATTTCCGGAACATTTTCAAAAGTTCAGTTGAAAAAGTTCTATTTTTAATACAATGTTTCAAAATTTGAACCCCCCCTATATAAGGGGAAATTGTCTAATTTTAATAAAAAGTATGTCAAATGAAAGATGTACTTATAATGTATTTAGAAAAAAAAAATTGTGCTGATACATACATTTTTCGAAAAGTTATAGTATTTTTAAGTTGAAAATTAAAAATCGAAAATTTTAACACAAAAATATTGTTTTTTTAACTACGGCAACCACCGTTTACATGCGGGGAACGAGGGAAAATTTTTAAATTTATGTTTTGTATAACAACATAAANCATTTTTTTAAACTAATTTATGTTTTGTATAACAACATAATTAATTGTAATATTTATTATAATAGATATATTTTTATTAATAAAAATATCTATTAAATGTTTTTTTATGTTCCTAAGTCAATTAGGAAATCTTACTCAAACTGGGGGGCCTTAGTTCCCCTATTTCCGATTATAGCTACTTCTACGAATAATTGATTTGTTTAATAAATTTATTTAATTATTAACGATTTTATTTCAAAATTATATTTTAGGTAAATATGTTTGTCTAAAAGGCAAGTGTAAAGGTCAAACCTTTCTTTTGTTATTTATGACCGTCCGTTCGACCCACCGTTCGCTAACGGATGGTTTCTATTATCCGTTGTGAACGAACGTTTTTTATTGTTCTAAATGGTCGCCCGTTCGATGTTTCATACGTTCCGAACGTGTTCACGGACAACGTTCGCCATATAAACTTATATAAAATAAAATCTGAACGTATACGTTCGTGAACGGACGATTCAAAAATAGACCCTCTGCTCCTTTATACCACCGGAAGCCACCGTACGGCATGGGCTGACTCATAGCCCACCCGTAAAGGTTATTGCCTGTAAACATTAAACGTTTTTAAACCACCGCTCAATTATTACGCGTTTATATACAGAGTGTTCAGTAAGTTAGGAAACAGTTAAATTGTTACAAACAATGAGTACAATAGAAATTCGTTTCCTTATTTACTGAACACCCTGTATACACGTATAGATTACTTACAGTCTTGGTACACGATCCATGATTCTGGTTTTGATGGATCGTAATCGGGTGTCTTAGAATTGTTGGCCTTTTCATAGTGCTTGACGGCCTGCACTAGTCGACCACGAATGCCCTGTTCCACCATCAGTAGCATGTCGTAATCGTTCAAGAGCTCCAGCTTCATCCCAGTGTACTTCAACATACAATCGACGCTAAAACCAGGCGCGGTGTAATAGTGCGCCGGGTCCAAATTGTAGGTTGAAGTACAGATGTCGCGGAAGTTCTCAAACACGTCAGCCAACAACAACACGTCAATCTTAAGATATAGGTCGCTGTACTCACCGAGGGTTGAGCAGTCGAAACGGTTCCACACCTCCGTGGCATATCTATAGTCGTCGTCATCAATATTAGACTCACTCAACTGACTATGGAAAGCGTCCTGAGCGTCCGCGATCCGATGTTTTCACCATGAACCCATAGATCATGGGATGGTGGATGTGCATAGTCCTAGTATAGGCACCCATACGATCGTCTGTTTTCTCCAGTAAGGCCTCAAAATCGGCGTAGATGACGAACGGTAACCGTTGTGTCATTACCCACGCGTCAAATTCGACCTTACTGCCCTCTGCCGGCATAACGGGTAAAATAGGCTTGTTCTTGTCGCATATCAACTTGTGTTGCTCCAACGCTTGTTGACCCCGAAGAATATGCTTTTTAGGCATATCATCAAAGCTGGTGAAGCAACGTTTACAAGTGTATATGCGGCCATGATGTTGAGTTTTTTGGCTGCGCACAAGCTTCGAAAAATCGGAAATGTACGAGTAATGTGACTTTTCAGAGTCACCGATGTACAACAGGTCAAAATGATTCTGTTGCTCTTGGTCGGCGACTCTTAGAGGATACACCAACCACTTCATCTTAACGTCGTCTCGTTCCAAGCCGTACACGTTGACAGACACGTTAGGGTTTCGTCGCTCAAATATTTTAATTTGGGACACAGGTGTGGGGAACGTCAACCCCGTGAAATCATACCTGTGTTCCTCGTTAAAATATTTTTCATTAACGCGATATTTATTACTCCCGCTAACGTGTCTTGCCAAAATGGACCACTTGAAACAAGACTGATCTATATTCTGTGGGTTGATGATTGCTTTTCTTTGATTAATCTCTGGTGGGACAGGAATATATGATGAGCCGGCGAGGGGCGTATACTTGTATACGCTGAGCATAAGGCTGTCGATATACGTTAGCGTGAATCCGCTACCCCTACCCGAGTATGCGTCTTCCTCGGCAATCATAACCTCAAAATCTTCATCAACCGCACACCCGATATCCGTATCGGATAGCAATGCCCTAGCCCATGTCTTAAAGGCACGGTCTTCGGACGGTGCTTCTGATCGAGGTATATGGTATGAGGTCTCCAATTTGAGATTATACTTGATTGGCCGGTTACCTACGATTTCAGCGAGTCTGGCCACCAGCTCGGGTTTAACGGCGCGTAGAAAATCTCGATAGCTCGCGAAATTTTCCACGCTCTTCCGGTAAAACCAAACGGCTTCCCGCTCTAATGAGGAATCGATCTCGGTGAAATCACTGGTATCCGTCAATTGCATACATAACCTTTTCGACCTAACCGCACTGTTGTTGGCCTTACTACGCTTAGCCGCCTGACGTGAAGAAGCAGATGTAAACGAGGTAGCTTTAATAAAAAATTAATAAATAATTTATTTATTGGAAAATAAAAAAAAATAATAAATAAATAAATAAAAAAAGGTTGTAAAATTAAAGAGATATTAAAATGTAAATAATTGTATATACCTGGTACAGAAGACGTTTGCTGGTTCATGATTTTTTATTTGCGCGTGTAAAATATAAAAATAATAAATTTATAAGTAAAATTAAAACTATATTAAAAATATTATTAATTTAAAAAAACTAAAAAATATTAAAAATATTAAACTAAGGACCCTCTTGAATCATTCTTGATACTCTTTCATAATAATCTTCTTTTTTTAATATTACAACAGAATTCCCCTTATCTGCCTTTAAATAAAAACAGTTTTTATTTTTTAAGTCTTTTATGAGTCGTGAATGTTTTTCATTTTTTCCTAAACCCCCTTTATTTATAACAGAATTTTTTTGTAGAAAATTTTTGTAGACTCATAAAAGACTTAAAAAATAAAAACTGTTTTTATTTAAAGGCAGATAAGGGGAATTCTGTTGTAATATTAAAAAAAGAAGATTATTATGAAAGAGTATCAAGAATGATTCAAGAGGGTCCTTAGTTTAATATTTTTAATATTTTTTAGTTTTTTTAAATTAATAATATTTTTAATATAGTTTTAATTTTACTTATAAATTTATTATTTTTATATTTTACACACACAAATAAAAAATCATGAACCAGCAAACGTCTTCTGTACCAGGTATATACAATTATTTACATTTTAATATCTCTTTAATTTTACAACCTTTTTTTATTTATTTATTTATTATTTTTTTTTATTTTCCAATAAATAAATTATTTATTAATTTTTTATTAAAGCTACCTCGTTTACATCTGCCTCTTCACGTCAGGCGGCTAAGCGTAGTAAGGCCAACAACAGTGCGGTTAGGTCGAAAAGGTTATGTATGCAATTGACGGATACCAGTGATTTCACCGAGATCGATTCCTCATTAGAGCGGGAAGCCGTTTGGTTTTACCGGAAGAGCGTGGAAAATTTCGCGAGCTATCGAGATTTTCTACGCGCCGTTAAACCCGAGCTGGTGGCCAGACTCGCTGAAATCGTAGGTAACCGGCCAATCAAGTATAATCTCAAATTGGAGACCTCATACCATATACCTCGATCAGAAGCACCGTCCGAAGACCGTGCCTTTAAGACATGGGCTAGGGCATTGCTATCCGATACGGATATCGGGTGTGCGGTTGATGAAGATTTTGAGGTTATGATTGCCGAGGAAGACGCATACTCGGGTAGGGGTAGCGGATTCACGCTAACGTATATCGACAGCCTTATGCTCAGCGTATACAAGTATACGCCCCTCGCCGGCTCATCATATATTCCTGTCCCACCAGAGATTAATCAAAGAAAAGCAATCATCAACCCACAGAATATAGATCAGTCTTGTTTCAAGTGGTCCATTTTGGCAAGACACGTTAGCGGGAGTAATAAATATCGCGTTAATGAAAAATATTTTAACGAGGAACACAGGTATGATTTCACGGGGTTGACGTTCCCCACACCTGTGTCCCAAATTAAAATATTTGAGCGACGAAACCCTAACGTGTCTGTCAACGTGTACGGCTTGGAACGAGACGACGTTAAGATGAAGTGGTTGGTGTATCCTCTAAGAGTCGCCGACCAAGAGCAACAGAATCATTTTGACCTGTTGTACATCGGTGACTCTGAAAA